AGCGCTCGGACGTGGGGTAGGCGACAACACACGGAAGCGGCGCGCGGGAGGATTCCATCGCGGGCACGACCTTGGGTAATCGAAGTTTTAAAGTTTCGGCATAGGACACTTTATTGTCCTGGTTGTTTACTAGTTGGCTAGTTTTGACAAGGGAGGGTGTAGATTTTATTTTGTACAACTCGCGTTCGGTGTTTGACAATTGTGTTTCTGTACAAGAAGATTTTACCACTAGTATCGCGACAATACCGGTGACTCGCTGAGTCAGTTCCATAATAACGGATTTACCCGACGTGGTTAGGCGGGACTCAAGCACGACCTCATTTATTTTTGACAGCAATGTCGATGCCTCGGTCATTAAATCTACATACTCGGCACTAGATGCGGATGGGGATGCAATTGGCGAGCCACATTGCAAACGTTTAGACCTGTCTTCGTCAGGAGTCGCGTACGCAGGCGACATTTCACTAAATAGTCGCTTCGAGCTAGTCGAGGGTGGTGACCGCGGAGTTAACTGACTTTTGCGGAACCCACCGCGATCCGGTGGATCACTTCGCGATGCCATTGTTCAATGAATATAACTAGTACTTATCGTTAGACACTATCGAGCAACACGAAAATAAGTAAAACAAAAATAAAACGCGAACTCAATCCGCTAACCGCAATAAAAATAAATAAATTGACTTACCGAAAATATGATGAATATTACTTTACTAAGTGGATTAATCCCGTTAATTACTCACGTATACCACACTCAGACACAGGGCACACAACAAAAAAGCCACACGAACCGGAATAGATCACGTAAATATCAAAAAGAAAACAATAATAATATAACAGCGATAAGAACACCACTGCACCGTGCGCGCGCGCGGAGGGAAGTGATGTCTGTAATGGGTTGTGTACTGACCGCGCACGGAGCCGTCGTCCCCGGCCGAGGCGATGTACTGTCCGCTGGGGTCGAAGTCCAGGCTGCGCACCAGGCCGGCGTGGCCGCGCATGACCTGCGCCTCAAACGTGGGGAAGGGCTGGAGCTCGCGCGGCGACGGCAGCTTCGGCACCAGCGCCTCGGGCCCGATGGTCAGCTGCAACACGACGTCACTCACCGTCCGCACTGGCGCGCCAGGCCCGCCAGCGCGGCCCACTACGTACCCGCATCTTGATGGCGCGCGGCGCCAGGTACAGGTCGAGGCAGCGCAGGAACCGCTCGCGCGTGAACCGCTCGTACGCGGGCACGGCGCGCAGACTGGCGTGGCGCGTCGGCAGGAACGTGTACTTGCGCTTCCACGGCGTCTCGCTCAGCTTGTTCCACTCCTTCAGCTGCAACACCAGCGCCGCGCATGTGTCACTACCGTGCCAGTGCTCGTATGACTGACATAAAATATCGACACAGAAGAAACCAAGTCGACTGATAAAATATAGACTCTCGCGTCCATATTACATCAATAGTGTGGAACAAACAGGTAAGCTGGTTTTTTAATGTCCTTTGCGAATCCTATTCAGCATACCTATCTATAAATACCATAGTTCGAAAACATTTATAATAAACTAGCTGTTCCCCGCGACTTCATCTGCATATAGTAATGGGTCTGGCAAAATTTTGATTTATTTATTTATTTGTCTTTTCCAAGGTTAATTCCAAATCTATGCAACAAATCCCATCAGCATCCATTCAATACCTAAGTCTATTTTCGTAATTTAAAAAAAAACAATTCGACAGGGGTTTTATTTACCGGTATAGCATCCGTTCCCCGTGAGGTTTCCATAATAAAAACGATTTTATGTTCTTTATTTACTAAATTTAGGTCAAGTGTGTTTCTTTTTTGTTAAATATTTTAATAACCGTTTCAGTGCGTCTATCCTTTTATTTGATTAAGATGGTGGTCGAATTACAAATCACCCTGTACATAAATATCCCTCGAAGCCAGTACTAAGACTTCACAATGAAGGTGAATAGAAATAAATATAGAATGCAGGGCATAGAGCGGGAATACGGACCTCTTGCGCGTCGAGCAGGTACTCGGGCGGCGGGTTGTAGCTCTCGGCGTGCGAGGGCGGCGGGCGGCGCGGCGCCGGGATGTGGCGCTGCAGGCCGCGCGGCTCGGCGCCGCCCGCGCCCCACAGGTCGTAGAAGGGCTTGTGGCGGCGCTGGCGCCGCTCGTCGGCCAGCTGGCGCCGCGTCTTGGCCCAGCCCATGCGCAGCGCGTGCACGAGGCGGCCCACGGCGCGCGCCTCGTCGCGCGACGGCACGAACGAGCGCTTGTGGTCGGGGAAGGCGCGCAGCGGCGTGGCCAGCACGTCGCGCGAGAACCAGTCCAGCCAGGGCGCGTACTCGTCGCGCGGCGCGGCGGGCGCCAGGCCGGCCCGCACGCGCCGCAGCAGCTCCAGGTCCTGCCGGCTCAGCACCACGTCCTGCCCGGTGTTGGGGTCGCGCACCGTGCGCCAAAAGTCCGGATCTTCACATTTTCTATATCAATAATTAATTTCAATGAATCACCGACATATACAGAATTCTTTCTCCACGTCGTATAAACATGGCTGAGTCTAAGAGAGGCAGCCCCGGTGCCTGCGGCCGTCTACAATTGAAGTGTTGACATGAAGTGATATCCTAACTGATTATAACCAAAACAATTTTGATGATGTATATGAGTGTGTGGACTACTAACTTGAGGAACTCGTCGATCTGGTCACGCTGCGGCGGCTTGATGATGCGGCGTCCGTCCAGGTCGTAGCCAACGTGGGTGTACTCGCGGTACCACCACAGAGGTACGTCCCCCACTGTATTGCGCCGGTCCTCCTCGTCCGACGTGTCACCCGACGAGTACTCGTCTGTTACAATTCAAGCAATTGCAGTATCCAAACAGTCCAAGCAGTTGCTACTCAACGAGTTAATCCCGGCCAGATCATAATAAAATTTAATGAAACAATCTCAACACAATCCTTCCAATTAACAACTCAATAAACAACTGAGAACAATTTAATAAAATAAACCTTTTTGTGTGACCGGTTGTGTGTTGACAGTAGCTTTGTGAACACTGTCTGCCAGTCTGTCGATGCTAGTGTCAGTGCGCTGGTTGGCGGCGTCTGGTTTTATCTTGACTCGTCCGGCCGGGCGCGGCGCGGCGCGGTCCTCGTCCGAGCCGCTGTCACCGGAGGGCCGCGCAGGGCCGGACTCCGCGCCGCTGTCCGCCTCACTGTCTGAGTCGTCATCCTCCTCCTCAGACTCTCCATCATCATCATCCTCAGAGTCTGTGACATTCTGAAACATTCATTATGCCTCCTTTACAACAAACCAACTACAGCCAAACTGTCTTAAACCTCAGTCAAATACAAAATACAAATGTAATGGAGCAGTAACACTATACAGTTGTATACAAAATGTACTTCTGTTTTCATTTTAAACACAACAGACAACACATAACTATCAATAATATTGTGCAATAGAGCCTAAGCCTTTCATTCAAATATAATCAACATCAAGCTAGATTGTAATCACGAGTGACAAACTTTTCCCTAACCCAAACAATAACAAATTATAAGAATACACACAACAGCATGTGGTGGAGTTGGAAGACAGTGCTTAAGTTTTCATATAACTAGGAAAAAGTCATGGAATAAAACAAGATAATGGTGTAATATATTGTATTAAAAGAAAAATACTTACTGATGATGAACTTGAAGCATCATCTGCTTGTTCGTCATCCCCAAATGTTGAGTCAGCACTGTCATCAAATAGAACCTCCTGAGAAAAAAATAAGTACAATAATGACCATGACATCGAAATGAATACCCATTATTACGTTATAATATTATATTCTCAGGATCAATTTTTGTGATAGTAGAATTGTATGTCACTCTCATGTTTGCAATGTAAGTGTAATTTGCAGAGTTTGCATGTAAGTATTCTGAAACTATCAAAATTATGTAAAATCAGATTATCACAAGTTCTATTCCACTGATTCTACAAAAGTTTAGATTTCTCCAGGAACTGAAAAATTACATATGAAATCCATCCTACTAAAGATATTCACAGGATTACAAGAAGGAAATAAAAAATTACGCAAATGACTAACATCTCTTTCATGGTCGGAAGTGACTTCTGTTTCATCTTCATGCTCGGAATCTGTTGTGTCACTTGCAGCATCCAGTTCTCCAGTTATCAAATCTTCTTGTTCTGAATCCTCTGTCTGATAAAGAAATTTGTCCATTAATTAAATAATAGCACATTCAGTTTAATGAATACAGAATAAACCCTAGTTCCACCCAGACATAATTACCAAAAGCATACTACATATACTTTAAATTACATCATTTCTGGATACTCTATCCCCTACGGAACGTATAAGTCCGTATAACTCGTTGAAATGCCATACATGTAACCCAATCGGTACTTTTATTAAACAACAAAGTAGGCAACTTACATTAATTGTTACAGTTAAAACATTGGATTGAGGATCCTTTTCATTAAGCACATCGGTTAAATACCATGCACCTACATAAATATTCGTGTGAATTGCGACACTTGAGTGAAACATGTATATTTTTCATTTCTTGTACATTTTATTCGCAACTTTACCTGATTAAATGTGTTCAAACGGTCATTTTGCTCCAGGTTTTCAGCATCAACTTTCCTCTTCAATAATCCTTTTTTGAAAGGCGGCATTTTGATAAAATTCCTGGATAACACTCACTGTATCTAGTCACTAACTTCAAAATAACCACATAACCACACGTGTTTACGAGTTTGACACTTCGACACTTGTCACTTACTGTCCTAGCATATCCAAAGCAGACGTTGACATTGACAATCATTGAGAACTGTCAAAAACACAAAAGTAAAAGTTTTAAGATCTGCAGCTGTAGCCAAATGCCATTTAGCGCTTGTCTACATGTAGAATAGAGAACCAAATTATATGGAATTGACGTAAATTTTTACACATGTCAGTGTCATCTCCATACATTTAGTTTTCTACTCTCTCTGTAGACAAGCGCTAAAGTGGCGTTTGGCTAAAGGCACTGCTATTTTTTATTTTATTTGATGGCCCATGGCCCTCCGTTTGACTACTACCTGGTGTTAACCGATGATGCGGCCTACGATGGAGCACGACGTCTCATAAGAAAACTATTTACTCGGGCCATGTTATACCCTTCAGGAAATAGACTCTGGCAAAGAAATCTACTCCTTAACAGTACGCACAAGGAAGCTTGATGTCAAAGTCAAAGTCAAAATCATTTATTTCAATTAGGCCAGAATGGCACTTTTGAACGTCAAAATAAAAATAAGATTAAAAGTGAAGCTATTTGCTCATTCCAAGGTGTAGATTCCTATGGAGAAGAACGAGCAAGAAACTCCAAAGGTTACTCTTTTCAATCTTACATAGTTTTGCTGTTTGGATTGTGCGAGAACAATGTAACACGAAAATCCAGTCAAAGTGATCAAAAAAAGAAAATAACCTTAAGGACAATAATACAGTCGGAGCTGACCAGTCCCAGTTGACGGCGCCCGTTCACGAACATGTCACGTACACCAGCACCGCCCAACTCAACCGATGCGTAGGGCTTCGTGCTTGTGGGTGGAAAAGGTTTGGATTCAAGACTTTTAATTTATATGTGTCGTGTCGGACCGCTGCGGTGCGTTAGATGTACTGCCTATACTTATTATACTCTTTGTGTACTGCGCACGGGGATACTTACCATACTCTTTGCGATCCTCTTTTTTTTCATGCAAAACGCACGGTGCGGCAACAAGACAGGACAGCAACGTCGGCAAGCATCACGTATCCATTTCGGTGTTGAATAGTCAACCGATATTTTGTCCCTTATTAATAATTATTGATGATAATGAAATAAACCAAAATTTATGCAAGATTTAATTAATTGTTTTTTGTCAATAACCGAAATAAAGGGTTTTTCAAATAGAGCAGGTCAATGTTAATAAACTGTGGCGGCCATTTCGTTTTGGCGGCATCTTTCAAATCTGATATTTTCCATGGTAGTACGGAAGTAGGTACCTACAATAAGTAGGTGAATAGGGATCGAGACGTGAATAGAGACAAAAGAGGGGTGAATAGATGTTAGGAAATTCTTCATAGTATCGATTCACACCCTATTTTACCTACGTACAACGTAAGAAAAAAGACAAACAAAGCCGAAAGACCTCTTGCTCGGCTCGTGTTTCTATGCATAATGAACCTTCCAGTTGTACATAGTATTTATTACTTCCATGATAGTTTCTTATTCAAAGAGTATATACTATGTATGGCTACGTATATATTTTTATAATTAGGTAAGTATTATTATTTGACTGTCTCGCGATACTCATTTCATCCATTGGTACCTAGTATATTCAGTCACTGATACCAAATCACTATGGCAAGTTACACAGTTGAGCAGCATGTGCAAATGATCAAACTTTATTATGTTAGTTCAAAACGTTAAGCGCATTGCGGTCATTTTACGGCAGACGCGGTGGCCAACAGTCTACTCTCCTCCGATTGGTGATACTGACCGGTTGGGCAAACCAACAACACCTTTAAGACAAAGGAATGCCAGATCAGCAGAGAACATCGCCTGTGTACGCGAGTCTTCAGGAGACTCCGACGCAATGGATTTGTTGCCGTGCACAAGAATTTTGCGTCGGGACTTTTTTTTATTAAGGGGGGAAAAAATCATCGAATGACTGCTGCCGCCTGGGTGAGACGAGAGGGAATGTCAGACTTTTACTGACTAATAACCACCTCGTTCCTTCTCCTGCACATCGAGCTGTCGTACTTATACCCAGGTTGAGGTGAGGTTCACCAGGTTACTGTTTGGTGCGGATCTTGTTCTGAACTGTCAAACACCAAGCGGTCACCGGTGACCGCAACCTATTGTTCTATAATTGTGTCTACAAAACCGGTACTCGACGAGTTAAATTGAACAATATAGAAGTGAACGACATCTAATTTTCGCAACACTTGCCACACAGCGCACGACACAATCGACACTCTGCATGAACGGTTTGAGGGTAGGATATCTCTCACAGAGGTGACGTGAATGTGCCAAGATTTCGTGATTTGACTCTGGTAGACTTTTTCTTATGGGGTTTTCTGAAGTCACAGGTCCATGCCAATAAACCACATTCGACTGTTCCCTGAAAGCCAACATAATTAACGCATGTCATCGCTCAGATTCACCCGGATTTATGCAGCAGAGTAATCAAAAATTGGGATTCGTGCCACCATTCGAAGCCGCGGCGGAAACAGTAAAAAGTTCATTATGCAGTAAAATTTTATGTTCGGAAACCACCCTTCAATATTAACTTTACTGTCAGATTGGTCTGAAGCCTATCAGACATTGAATTGATTGAATCGCGACAAGTAGGGGGAAGTGGACAATTCCAGGAATTTAAAAAGTGCCAAGTACCCATTCAGCGCCGAGCCCGCCCATCGGCGGGCAATATTTTTTAACTTTCACGCCGAAAGTGCCCTTGGGCGGTTTGTTTTTAAACTGCATTATCTTTACGAAATAACTTCAGAAAGTACCTAATGAGATGATGTGTAATGATTTGTTTCATTTTTATTGGCATCTCAAATGGCCTACTGATATTTGAAGTTATGAATAAAATCAATTCTAATCTGTCATGTCGAGCCCGCTTTTGGCCGGCTGAGTTGATTTCAGAAGTCACAAACCTTTTGTAAATTTTAGTACAGTATAATTATGGGGAGTCGGAACACTGGCTTCACCTCTCCAAACCGCAGCACCAACAACAACAAACCTGATTATGTTTGTCGAGACTGATCGCAGGATAAACCAAGAAAAAAAATAAAAAAGTTTTAGTACGACTAAGAACTATTACTAAGTTTTTACATTCTCGGTACTTCTTTAGTACTCGTGTATGTAGCACCTTTTACGCGTGGGTACAGTACGTTAAACTGAGCATATCAAAGGATTCATGTCAGAATCTGCAGCTTTTTGCCAAAAAGGCCAATGGGCGGGCAAGAATAGGTACATAGGTAATCGAGATGCCGGGACCGCCGATGGGCGGACTGCATAATATAGTATGGCGGCATCTGGGTAATATCGTTACTTTTTTTATCATGACTTGTCAGTCTGTCCGTCAGTGAAGCTAGGCGCTCGTTCCAAAATGTCGATTCGAGTGGAGAAGAACGAGCAAGAAACTCCACTCGTTACTCTTTTAACTCGTCGAGTACCGGTTTTGTAGACGCAATTATAGAACAATAGGTTGCGGTCACCGGTGACCGCTTGGTGTTTGACAGTTTAAAAAAAGTCTGTTTTACATTGCTCTGATACATATTCCAATATTGTACACACATGTGAGAATAATGTAAAGACATACCTGACGCATCATACAAATAACAGAACGTACTAAAATAAAAAACAAAACCAAGAGAAAACAAATATCTTAAGTCTGACATGGTCCTCACATATGTATGTACGGTACGGGTCGAGTGTTAGGAATAAAACAGTACGAATGCTGAGAATACACTGCTTTATTAATAGTAAGAACTTCGATTATATAGGATTATGATTACATATCCCCCCTTAGAAAAGTAAATAATACGTTTTGATATAATGCGAATACATTGATTACAATACAAAATATAAGTACATTCCTTGATTACAAAAATATGGTTATAATAGTACTATTATGTTCACTTACAATAATACAACTTAGTGCGATTTTTATGAATAACATCGATTTTGTTGTTCTTTATAATTTCAACATTTGGTGTTATGTCTTTGACAACCACATATGGCCCAGAATATAAGCTATCTAATTTACCACCTACTTCATTTTTAATTAAAACTAAATCATTAGGGTTATACGTTACAGGTCGCTTATTTTTATCGTATTTTTGTTTCCTATGTAATTTACCCTTAAGCAAATTGTCTCTAGCCTCTCTTTGTGTCAATTGTAAACGATATTTCAGTTGCATTGGATAATCATCGTAGTTATATAATGGCTCGACATTAGTAGTTAAATTACTTGGGAGAGTACATTTCTTCCCAAACACCAACTCATATGGTGTGAATTTAGTTTCACTGTGAACAGTCAAATGCTTTTGACATGTCCATCAAAACCAATGATATCGGTGTTCTACGATCAATATCTATACATATAATAAAATTGTAGAAAAGTGCTGTCTGTACATTGAAAATAAAAATAAAAAAAATAGCAGGGGCTATTGTTATGTCGATGTCGAACCCAAAAATGTAACTAACTTTTTTTTGTCTGTTTGTCTGTTTGTCTGTTCACGCTGATCTCAGAAACGGCTGATCCGAGTTGCATGCGGTTTTCACGAATATATTGTGGTATGCTTCAGTTATGCTTTAGTGTTTGTTTCATGTCAAGCGGTTCATAAATAAAAAAGTTATGTCAAATTAAAGAATCACGTCGAACACTATTCTATGCTTATACCTCTACATACATCTATCTATATCTATTATTATATATAAATATATATATATTTATATATATATATATATATATTTAACAGGGTGCGGAAAAGGTGATAGTGTTTTTATTCCTCGGAGTTCTCTCATTCCAAACAATTTTCCGTTTAGTTTTAAACGAATTCAGTTTCCAGTGAGCCTATGTTTCGCCATGACAATTAATAAAGCTCAAGGTCAGACTCTAAAAGTTGTGGGTGTAGATCTAAGTAACAGCTGTTTTTCGCACGGTCAATTGTATGTGGCTCTGTCCCGTGTTAGCAATCCCAGCAGCCTGTATGCTTTCACCCCCGATGGCCATACGTCTAATATTGTATATAGAGAAGCATTACAGTAAAGTAGGTTTTTTAGCTACCCAAAATGACTGTGATTATGATCCAAATCTAAAATAAAAATAAGTATATATTTAAAAAAAAACGCTGCTCATAGTCACTATTCCACGCGAACGAAGTCGCGGGCACAGCTAGTAATATAATAGTTTTTGAAATCTGACGTCACAAAGTTTAGGATCCCTCGCACTCCTAATCACACTTCTTCGACCCCCTCCTTCCCCTTCAACGTGTGACGTCATTTATGGATGACCCTAATTATGTTGTCTATCTATCTATCTATATAAATAAAAATCAATTTCCGTTCGTTAGTCTCGCTAAAACTCGACAACGGCTAAACCGATTTTGGTAATTTTGGTCTTGAAATGTTCGTGGAAGTCCAGGGAAGGTTTAAAAGGTGAGAAAAAATATTAATAGGCGGTACGAAGTTTGCCGGGCCAGCTAGTTGTTAAAAAGTTTCGTTATCACCTGAAATATTGCCTTATTTATCGACTTATTTTTTCGAAATCCGTATTGTTCTTGACAAAAAATGTCATTACTTTCAAAGAACGAGTAGATGGAGTTAAAAATCACTTTTTCTATGATTTTAGACATTACAGGAATTAAAGCAACGGGTCGATAATTCCCAGGTACCGTTTTATTGTCTTTCTTATGTAAAGGCCTAATCAGAGACACTTTCAATCTACATGGAAACTGACCATTTTCAATACATAGATTTATAATGAAACTTAAGTAATACCGGTGCAATTAAGTGTGATACTATTTTTATTGTTTTGGTTGTTATTTTGTCATACCCGGCGCTGTTTGTGTTTTTTAATGATTTTATTATGTTAAGTACTTGTAGCGGATCTGTTGGTTTCATAAATAAGGATTTTTTATAATTGGTGATATATGTGAGAGGATTTAATTTATTGTTACCAGTATTCTCTGATTTAATCTATATAAATAAAAATGAATTTCTGTTCGTTAGTCTCGCTAAAACTCGAGAACGGCTGAACTGATTTGACTAATTTTGGTCTTGATAGGTTCGTGGAAGTCTAGGGAAGGTTTAAAAGGTGAGAAAAAACTTTTAGGCGGTACGAAGTTTGCCGGGTCAGCTAGTATTTAATATAAATTGTCTTTTTATCAGCAATATAGCAAAATATAGGGGTTTCATAATTAATATTCTTTAACCTTCGCATGTTATCTAACTTTTCCCTTTCAATGAACACTAATTACGTTGAATTCTTTGGTGTGATATGCATTTCCACAACTTTTGGCTGAACAGGCCAATCGTAACTGGAGACGTTATCAGACGAGGAATGCGTAGGCGGCGTTTGTTTCCGTTTTTGCGCCCTTGTCATAATACTCAATATGTTGTCATTCATTTCTTTTAAGTCTTTTATGTTTATATTGATACGAGACAACGCATCCGCAGCTGAATTATCCCTACCTTTAATATACTTTACATCAAAATTATATTCTTCTAATAGAAGCCTAAACTTCATTAACCTGCTCGAAGGGTCTTTCATAGAAAATAAATAGACCAACGGCCTATGATCCGTCTGGATTCTAAATGGCCTACCATATAAATATGGGCGAAAGTGTTTTATCCTGGCAGGGTCGCCAATGGCGACCCTGCCAGGATAAAAGAGTGTTAGGAATAAAACAGTACGAATGCTGAGAATATAGGATTATGATTACATATAAGTACATAGTACAGTGGGGACCTCACATGTATACTGACAATCCATATAAAATAGTGCTTCTATACAAGAAAAAAAGTAAAATCTTGTTTACATAAAGAAATGCTCGATGCTACAAGAAAAATAGAGTACCTATTATCGGAATCTGAATTATAGGTACTGACTACATTTGAGTATTGTCCAGTGGAGCCGAACCAACACGATGTCAGGCATTCCTATCCTAAGGCTACCAACTTTCTGAAAGTCCAATGCGGGACTTTTTGTGTTGTTGACTGTTGCCCTATACGGAGCCGCAGAAGGCCTAAGCAGGAGTAGGAACAGGGTGGTTTTTAGTCAGTAAGAGTCTGTTACTGCCTCTCGCCTAATCCAAGGCGGAAGAAGTCATTGGATGATATTCCTCCTACAAAAAAAATGTTGTTCTGTGCTGAACTTTTCTCCTTCTAGCCCATTAGGACATCATTGTTCACGTTCACACACATAACTTACTTCGTCAAACAAGTTATCTTCATTTATTCGCGCTGTTGTTAGTGTGCGTGTGGTTGTGTCGTGTAGTAGAGAAATAGGTATGCGGGACTTGCGGGACGCACGCATCTAATCCGTTTTACGGGACTATTTTATTAATTATTTCAAAGCGGGATTACATATAGCATTACGGGACGGTCCCGCAGAATACGGGACGGTTGGCCGCCTTATCCTATCCTCAAGATAATCAATCACTCTGTAGTAAGCTTATTTACACAATTCGCACCATGAAGGATTTCTGTACCTTGGACAGTCTGAATTGCAGTCTACCTTTTTTTGCCTCTAGTATTAAGATTGTGTCTATCGCTTCTTTTTTTCGAACAATTGCCTATTTTTTCTTACATACATTATATTTTCATATACTATTATGTATTGACAGGGCACCGTTAAAAATATTTGTCGTTTTAAACAATTCCCTTAGCGATTTGCAATGGCGTAAGTTATATATTGCTCGGATAGCCCGGTTTTGAAGAATAAAAATTGATTCTATTTCTGCAGCTCGACCCCACAACAAAATGCCGTACGACATAATGCTGTAAAAGTAACTAAAATAGACAAGCCTTGCCGTATCCACGTCCGTGAGCTGTCTAATCTGTCTAACCGCAAAAGCAGCTGAGCTCAATCTCCCCAAAAGCGCCTTTATATGCGAGCCCCATTGTAGCCTATTGTCTAATGTAATGCCTAAAAAATACCGTCTCGTCGACAAATTCTAACTTTTGGCCGTTCAAAACAACATGACAATCATTACTTCGGACGTGTGATAAACTAAATTTAATACATTTGGTATTTTACTCATTGTCCTTGTTGAAAGACCCTTTTCAAAACTTTGTTTATACTTTCAAAATAATAGACATAAATGCAAACTATCATCCTCTATTTTGACCCTTCAGGGGTGGAATTTTTAAAATACCTACCTTTCATGGGTGTTTACACACTGAAGTGAATATTTGGTCCGAATTATGTAAAAATTATGATGTACTAACAACATTCCAATGGCCTGCCAATGGTGTGATACTAGCTAATTCTCTAATGTTACCCAATCTGCTAACTCTCTAATTAAACTACAAATTATTTATCCTTTTAGACAAAGAACAAGTTTCACACTAGTGCCATTTGGTGTGCAAAAATACAGTAGCCCCTAATAAAACAATTTTGGCTGTGAGATTATAAAACATTGATTTTTAAGTATTGAGTGTTGCGATGAAGTGTGTGCCTTATTCCTTTTTCATACAAATCTTCATTTAGCTACGAGCACCTGCCTGCACTAAAAAACCAACACAGAGACAATTAAATTAAAACCTGGCTGCCTGAACATTACTAAATTAATTAAAATGAATAGGTACTTTGACTTTGCCCCTCTTATAATCACACTAAAACCAAAACTTCCATTTCTTGTTGTATCTATTTATTACAATCTTTTTCATAATATTATTATTATAACTTGGCTATACCAAAGTCAAATAACAACTCATTATCGTAAAACTATAACAATAAATATCTAACAAAAATCAACATTGCTTCATAGTCTAAACTACCAGTGAGCACAATTAAAGATTATGCTTGTTTCGTTTTGCCGGAACCTAACACAATTACCACAGGTAGTATTACAAACATTGTCATTTACCACCAGCTGCTGGTACTGTAGTGTGAATACGTATGCCATGCATTTCTGCTATCTCACTCTTCAATGACTCGGTTACCAATCGGTGCTGCTTGACTCGAGATAAGCCAGAGAATTCTTTGGCTTCTACATTAATCTGAAATAAAAAAATAATCATATACTGGGACCTGATGATATAATATACAAAATGGATTACACTGATGAGGCACATACTTGAAGGCAGCTATAATAGTATTTGCTAAATAGACTTCATTTAAAATACATTTTACCTCAAACATAGCACCACAACCCCCAGATATGTCTTCTACACTGACATATGTGATGCCAGGCAGTGAACGCTTTAGAATTTCAGACAGCTGTTGCTCCTTGGAAATGCTGTTCCGTTCGAATGCGTTACCGCCATTAGTTGCACTCCCCAGTCGTGCCTTCCTCGACTACCAACATGACATACAGGTTAACAGCAGTACTTTGTTACTACCAATCAATCGAGCAAGTACTACTGGTCTATTAGACATGAGTGCTTACCAACTGATTTCTGATAGGTTCCAGAATTCTAGCTAAGGTACGATACATTTTTGGAAATTGTGTAGATTTTCCGCTTCGTTCGTAAAACCTATAGTTTTAGGATAGAATGAAATTCGAAAAGCTATAATTGGGATTCCTAGTACTAATTTCGGTCTATATATAATATTTCTAAACTATTAACACATTTTTCTCTTTCCTAACTTCAAAAGCAACTTAACACAAAAATAACCAACAAGGAAATTAAAAATAAATGATGCAACGCGTTCTGTGCTCGGTAAATCTGCCATGCCATGCCAAATTTATTGAGACTGAGGACAATGAGGACATGACAACTGACAATGACATTGACAGTAAAGGTGGACGTACCATAGACGTACCTAAAGGACCAAACTATTAAAAATTTGAACATTTACACTGTCTGCACTGGTCTGCACTTAGAAGATGTAATAGCGCAAGGGTGTCTACCAAAAGGCCTACCCATCTTCCAAGGCAACAACGCCTAACCACATACCATCTGGTCTCTTGCCGTTATCACGTCAATTAACATTGCTGGATTAATTCATATTATCATATGGAAGAAAGAAGAGAAATATTACTTAATCAAATGGGAACCATGGGGAACTTATTCTATTTGTAATTTTTAATCTATCGGTCTCTTGACCATAGTGCTATTATTTACACTCTGTAGGAAAATATCTGGAGTATTATCTATGGTATAGAGGGACAATCAAGAGCTTATTGGGACAATCTTTGACGACAAGACAAACATCAGTCAACATCGGCCTTTCTAAAGTCAACATGGCGTTGAATCTAAGTGTCAAGATTCACCCTGTGGTGTTATTTCAAATAGTAGATGCTTATGAGAGGCGAAATGCAGATTCACACAGAGTTATTGGTACTTTATTGGGTAAGTATTGTAGTTAAAAAGAATGGTGCTGTAAAACATTTAATTCTACACAAAATTTTATTCTAATGTTTTTGGCTGACATCGTCATGTGCCTGTATTTCGTCCTAGTATCGTTAAAACAATCGTGTAGCGTAGCTGCTTATTGCATCTACATTTACGTAATAGGTTCTTTAAAATGGTTTGTGGTGACTACTATATCCTGATATAAATGTGTAAGTTAAGGGTTGTTTTGAGGTTATATTATTGTGATGTTCAGGCACCTGCGACAAGGGGATTGTGGAAGTGACAAACTGCTTCTGTGTACCACACAAGGAACATGCTGACCAAGTCGAGGCCGAACTCAACTACGCCATGGATGTGTACGAGCTAAACAGGAGAGTGAATGCATCAGAGAACATTGTCGGTGGGTAACAATAATGTTTGTACATGTTATGGTCAAGTGTTTAGTACAACTTTTGGCGCACGTCGTCGATTAAGTAAGGGTTAAGAAATACCTTTTATATTTTATGATGTAACTAGGTACCTGTGTGTGGGTCCCATTGCTTGCGGCGTATTTTTTTTATAGTGTATAATTATAATTGCCTTTGTTGATATTAATTGGACTATCCAACACAAAGAATCATTAAATACACACAAACAAACTAACTCCTCAGATTTAAAAAATACTATTGAAATACACACATTACAGTTTTAGTTATTATTCTTCTTATGACTTACCCCACACTAGGATTTTCCCTCACATTATAGGTGTGTTTTTAAACAGAAATTTATATACACATCACACCCAGACTGGAAACAACAATTTGTGGATCACACAAACAATTGTAACATGTTGGAATGGAATGCGCTACATGTTATATAGCAGCTGAGTGGTTTTTTCTTGCACATTAGCTACACTGGTAGTTCCAATATTATCATATTATATACAGTGCCGTAACTAGCCTTCTAGGCGCCCGGTGCGAGCTTTCAGAACTGCGCCCTTGAAAAATGTCCTTACCAGGCTCAGACAATAAAATGGACAAATGTGCATGAAAATATAACTGTTTATTGTGTACCAAGTTATAGGTCGGTACTTAGTAGATGTTTTAAGACAATTCGTTGCTGCCATTCCGCCATGAGATCGCGCCGGAGCTCTTCCCACCACGCATTTATCTGGCGCGGCAGCGGAGTTTCGCCCCAGCGACGTGCCTCCGCGCGCGACACCGATGGTAACCTCTCCCGCCGTTATTTGGGAGTCACATAGCCTCGGACTTGTGGAGCGCCACCTCGAGTCCCAACTGCCGGTTTCTTTCAACGACTGTCGTAACCCCTGTCGCTATTAAGTCGGCCGCCGCCTGGTGCGACCTCCGTGCACTAGCACCAACGTGTCGTCGGCGTAGCATATGATGCGAACGCCGTTCGGGAGGTCGGTGCGCAGCACCCAGTCATAGCGGATTTCCACAGGAACGGCCCCAGAACCGAACCCTGTGGAACACTTCTTTGACATCTCTCGCCGGTTCCACTCACCCCGGTGACCGGGGTAAATGACGGACCTGTCCGTCAGGTAAGCCTCGATTACACGACGGAGGTAGGTAGGCACCCGATGATATCGGAGTGCCTCCAAGATGCAGCTCCAGGGCAGGCAGTTGAAGGCGTTGGCGATGTCCAGAGACACCGCCACAACGACCTTACCCCTGGACACTGCAGTCCTCGTCGTCCGGTCCCTAACGCGCAAGGTGGCGTCCACAGTGGAGCGCCCTCTGCGGAAGCCGAACTGGCCGTCCGACAGGTCCGGCCCAATGTCCGTCAAGTGCGCGACGAGGCGGTTCGAAATTATTCTTTTAAAGACTTTCCCCACCTCGTCGAGCAGCACTATGGGCCGGTACGCGGACGGAGAGTCCGCAGGGCGCCTCGTCCTCCGCACGAGGATTACCCGCTTTCCAGAGCAGCGGGAACTGGCCTCTCTCCAAGTATGCGCAGTAGAGACCGATTAATCTAGGCCCGAGAGACTCTGAGGCCAGGATCCATGCTTTGCCATGCAAGCCGTCGGGTCCTGGAGCGTTGTTCTTGGCGTCCATTCGGCGCACCGCCGCTCTCAGTTCTGCCTCGGTCACCTCTGAGACGATGTCGTCGTCGTCGTCGCTATAGCCCGCGTCGGGCACCGCAGGGATCATATACGGAGGGGTGAAACCCCTCCACAGTCGGGGGAACAGGGCGCCAATCACCTCCTCTAAGACTTCTGGCCGGAGACTGAGTGAGCGGGGGAGACCAAGCGCGGAGCTTGTCGCCTACTATCCGGTACAGGCGTCCCCACGGGTCTCTGTTCAGAGTCCCCAGCATCTCTCGGCGGGCCTCCTCCTTGGCCCGCAGTATTTCCGCCTTGAGGACTGCCTTCGCCGCCCTGTATCCCTGGTACAACTCCGCCTCTCTGGCCTCCGCATTGGGAGGATGGATGCGGCGCCTGCTGTGCCTAGTGTACTGGCGTCACGCAGCAGTGCACGCCTTGCGTAGAGCTGCCAGCTGTTGCGACCACTAGTACACCTGGCGGTTTTGTTGCCTCGATCGGATCCGGGGCATCGCCAGGAGCAGCTCCCGGTCCAGCTGTTTCAGCGTCCAACGCGGGCCACAGGGGGCCTGTCTGACCGGCGGGTCCGCGGACTCGGCGGAGACGTCGAACCGGATATACCGGTGGTCGGAGTACGTCTCCACCTCCTCCATGACGTAATTACTACAACCGCGGTCCTAGGGTCGAGGAGCAAGGCAGCAGCCCGTTTCTCCCTGCGCTACTGCTGCCGTTGCTGCCGCTGCGCCTTCTTGCGGCCCTCCTTGGCGACTCTCCTCGCCTCACCAGCGATTTGCCACCCACCGCCATCCTCCGCTCGCGGGGCGGGTTCCACCGCCGCTGCTGCAACTCCAGCCTGCCGGGATGGAGTGCCTCTCCTTTTTTTGTTTCGCCCCGCGGGCGCAAGCGCAAACGCCCAAAGTATATTGCGAGCAAGACTTAAGGTGGATATACATTTGTCTGATGTGTAGTGAGTCGTTTGACATGTGTTGTTGTTTCAAGATCGTTCAAAAATGCGATACAGATTTAGATAGTACAGTCTGGTCATTTCTGCGCCCTGTGCCTGGGCACCGCTGGCACCGCCCTATTTACGGCACTGATTATGTACAATAGTAAAATAGAAAAAGGTATAAGTTTAATGTAATTTTATCATTGTTATGTTTCTCACATAGGAACTGAGAACCCATTACTGGTCCTCTTGTACTAACTCCCCTTTAAAGCCGCAATGAGCTGGCTGTTACATGAAAGAGAGTTTGGTTGCAGGATGGTGGGCGACGGGCGCGGAGGTGACGAACCACTCGTCGGTGATCCACGAGTACTACTCGCGCGAGTGCCGCGAGCCCGTGCACGTGACGCTGGACACGTCGCTGCAGGGCGCGCGCATGGGGCTGCGCGCCTACGTCTGCGTGGCGCTGGGCGTGCCGCGCGGGAAGCAGGGCTGCATGTTCACGCCCATCGATGTCGGCCTCACTTGCTACGAGCCGGAGGTGCTATTATCATTATTATTATGAAACTATTGTTCATTGCCTCCTAGTCGACCGGTCACTACCTCAGAGCTTCAGACCAAAAGGTATAGAGTTGGCGTCCTGAGTCAGGCTTTTATTTATTTATTTATTTTAATTCGGGTAACCAACAGCTATAAAACAAATAATAAAATTTCAGAATATGCCAATACAAAGCCAATTATAGGTTTCCACGTCTAGCTATAGTGTATCTTTACAGAGGTTTTGCGAATGCAATGCACATAAAAGTATAAAATGGATGGTCATTCAAAAAATTTTAGGTTTAGTCGCCTACGCACCTTGGAACTGCTTGTGGTAAATGGATCAAGTCCTAAATCCTTGCACAATCTATTATAATTCCTACTCACTCGCACAATATAGGAATTTTGTCTATAATTTGAGGAAGAAGTTGGGACAGCAATTGGTGGGTTAAATCGAACCGACTTTTTCGGAACATTAAATGACAGCTTATGCAAAAGGTCTGAGCAATCGATTTCGCTATTCAGTATCTTGGCAAAATAAGTGCAATCCGCTATTCGACGGCGATTAATAAGTGGGTGGAGATGAAATTTTTTGCATAGTTCCA